CCCCTCTTCAACTCCACCTCCACTTTGCCCTCCCCCCTCCTCAGCCTCTCCCCCTCCCCCACCCTCCTCTCCACTGCCTCCAGCCCCTGAGGAGCAGGAAGAGTCCCCTCCTCCTGTGGTCCCAGCTACCTGCTCTAGAAAGAGGGGCCGGCCTCCTCTGACTGCCAGCCAGAGGGCAGAACGGGAAGCTGCTCGGGCCGGGCCAGAAAGCACCTGTCCTCCCACTCCAAACCCCAGCAGCACCGTAGGAGGCCCTCCAGAAGACAGTCCCACCGTGGCCCCCAAAAGTACCACTTTCCTGAAGAATATACGGCAGTTTATTATGCCCGTGGTGAGTGCCCGCTCCTCCCGTGTCATCAAGACCCCCCGGCGATTTATGGATGAAGACCCACCCAAGCCCCCAAAGGTGGAGGTCTCCCCTGTTCTGCGACCTCCCATTGCCACCTCCCCAGCTGCTCCCCAAGAACCACCACCGCCAGTCCCATCTCCACCGCGTGCCCCGACTCCCCCATCCACCCCAGTTCCACTCCCTGAGAAGAGACGGTCCATCCTGAGGGAGCCCACATTCCGCTGGACCTCACTCACCCAGGAGACGCCGCCTCCCCCACCCGCCCCTCCCCCAGCCCCATCACCACCCCCTGCCCCTGTTGCTCCCTCCCGGAGGCCGCTACTCCTTCGTGCCCCTCAGTTTACCCCAAGTGAAGCCCACCTGAAGATCTATGAATCGGTGCTTACTACTCCCCTTGGGGCTCCGGAAGCCCCTGAGCCAGAGCCTCCTCCCGCTGACGACTCTCCCGCTGAGCCTGAGCCACGGGCAGTGGGCCGCACCAACCACCTCAGCCTTCCACGATTTGTCCCTGTGGTCACCACTCCTGTTAAGGCCGAGGTGCCTCCCCACGGGGTTCCTGCTCCAAGCAGTGGGCAGCAGCCCCTCCAAGCCCTGCAGCCCCAGCTCCTGTCCCAGCCACTGCCTCCACCGCAGCCCCAAGCCCAGCCACAGTTTCAGCTGCAGCCAGCCTCGCCATCACCGCAGCACACAGCCGTACTGGAGAAGGCCCGGGCCACAAGCCTGGGTTCGCCACCACTGTCTGGGGTGGAGGAGAAAATGTTCAGCCTTCTCAAGAGAGCCAAGGTGCAGCTGTTTAAGATTGACCAGCAGCAGCAGCAGAAAGTGGCGGCCTCAATGCCGGTGAGCATGGTGATGTGGCCAGGCCCCTGGACCTGGTCCTTGCAGCTGCCTCCCGGGACACTCGCAGCGCAGTCCTTCTTCATCCCCAGGACCCTGTGCTGCTGCTCCAGCCCTACCCCGCCCTGTGCTGTTCCTGTTGCCCCTGACCCTGTTTATTCCCCTACCAGCTGAGCCCTGGAGGGCAAATGGAAGAGGCCGTGGGGCCCATCAAGCAGGCCCCAGACAGAAGTGGTCTCAAGTCTGAAGATGAATCATTGGAAGCTAAGAGAGAGCGAGCATCGGTATGCAGTGAATGGGGGGGTTCCTCTGAGGAAGGCTGGCCACAGAAGCATGGGGAGCAGTCCCCTGTACATACTCCCGGTTTCTCTTCTCCAGGGCCCTGAGTCCCCTGTGCAAGGGCCCCGCATCAAACATGTCTGCCGCCATGCTGCTGTAGCCCTGGGTCAGGCACGGGCCATGGTGCCTGAAGATGTCCCCCGCCTCAGTGCCCTCCCTCTCCGAGACCGGCAGGACCTTGCCACCGAGGGTAGGGGGCTATATCATGGGGACTGATGGCTGTCTGGTTTGGAAGAGGACCAAGAGCAAGGAGATAGCCGGAGTTTGGGTGGTGGGTGGGCTGGAGCACTAGCTGTAGGTTTGACATGGCCAGAACTCATGAGTGTGGGAAGTGTGGGTTGAGGGGAAGCAGGTAAGAGGTGGGACCCTGGTGGCCTCATGGCTCCATTTCTCATCTGCTGCAACAGATACGTCGTCAGCGTCGGAGACTGAGAGCGTACCATCCGGGTCCCAGCCAGGAAAGGTGGAAGCAGCAGGCCCTGGGGGAGACTTGGAGCCTGCGGGGTCTGGAGGCACCCTGGCCCACACACCCCGGCGCCCCCTGCCCTCCCATCATGGCAAGAAGATGCGGATGGCCCGCTGTGGGCACTGTCGGGGCTGTCTGCGTGTGCAGGATTGTGGGTCCTGTGTCAACTGCTTAGACAAACCTAAGTTTGGGGGCCCCAACACGAAGAAGCAGTGCTGTGTGTGAGTAGCTGCGGTACGGCCTCTTTCTTCCCCTTCCCTCCTGGCTTGTCAGCCTCTAGCCCTAGCCTCTCTTCCAGCCTCTCTTTCCCCCCTAAGAGCAGTGGGACTGGTATCCATGGAGAGCTTCCTCTCTTCCCCAGACCACAGTCCCCTTCCCTGGTGACATGCTGTTCCCCTCCTCAGATACCGGAAGTGTGATAAGATAGAGGCTCGCAAGATGGAGCGGCTGGCCAAAAAAGGTACCCAGGTTTAAGAAGCATTTGTTTGTAAGGCCTCAGGAGAGGTGTGGTGCAGCAGAGGCCCCGCCCACTGCCTTTGCTCCCTGCCCTCCATCTCTGTAGCTGCACACTTCTGTCCTTGTCTCCCAAAAGCGCTTTCCTATGGCTTCCACCCTCCTCTTCTGCTCCACTTCTTTCTGCCTTTCTTCCGTCCCAAGCATCCCGTGTCCGTGGCTGAGTTCAAATCCTACCAAGTCCCCTGTTCCCACAGGCCGGACGATAGTGAAGACGCTGTTGCCCTGGGATTCCGATGAATCTCCTGAGGCCTCCCCTGGTCCTCCAGGCCCACGCCGGGGGGCGGGAGCTGGGGGGCCCCGGGAGGAGGTGGGGCCCACCCCTGGGCCCGAGGAGCAGGACTCCCTCCTACTGCAGCGCAAGTCAGCCCGGCGCTGCGTCAAACAGCGGCCGTCCTATGATGTCTTCGAGGACTCAGACGACTCGGAGCCCGGGGCTCCTGCTCCACGGCGCCGGACTCCCAGAGAACATGGTGCGAACCACCGCTCAGCGCCTCTAGTTTGCTCTGCTGTGCTGGGGATGGAACCCAGGGCCTGGTACATTCTAGATGAATGCTATACCACTGAGACGCACTCTCCCAGTCTTGGGGCTCATTAGTCTCTTAAGAGAGTGGCTGAGGGCAGAGAAAGGGAACTGATGTGCCTGCTGCTCCCTGGGCTGGTTAAGCAGGGCTTAAAGGCCATCCTTGTGGTTTGTTAAGGAAGTCTGGGGTTGTAGAAGGAGGGGTAAGGCACCAAACTCTTCCTGTGTTTGCCTAGAGCTGCCTGTGCCAGAACCTGAGGAGCAGAGCAGGCCCCGCAAACCCACCCTGCAGCCTGTGTTGCAGCTCAAGGCCCGAAGGCGTCTGGACAAGGTCAGCACGGCCCACTCCGAGAACCCCCAGCCCTGTGTGAGGCGTGGCTCCTGCTCTCCAGGAGCTACCTGGCAAGTCAGGGTGACGGGCACACCCGCGTGCCGTGGTGTGTCCACACCTGAGCACAGGCCCGGGGGTGAGGCCCGCCCACCCTCCTCACCCACCCAAAAGCAGCGTGGGGTCTGGGCAAGAGGCAGGGCCCAGCAGGCTGGGGGTAGGCGGCAGGATGGCTTTGCAGAGGGGATGGCGCTGGCAGCCTCTGAGCCGCCCTCCTCCATCTCTAGGATGCTTTGGTCTCTGGCCCCTATGCTTCTTTTCCCAATGGCTGGACTGGGAAACAGAAGTCTCCCGATGGCGTGCACCGGGTCCGTGTGGACTTTAAGGTGTGTTGTGGGGGGCAGTGGTGTGCAGGGCCAGTTGGGAGGATTGTGTTCAGGTGCTTTGTAACCAGGGTTTTGCAGATAACTTGGCACATGAAACGAGGAAGTGGTTCAGATTGTAGTAAAAACTCAATGTATGGGGCTGGAAAGGTGGCTTAGTGGCCTAGCATGCATGAAAACCTGGGTTCGATTCCTTAATACCACATACACAGAAATAGCTGGAACTGGCGCTGTGGTTCAAGGTAGAGTGCTAGCCTTGAGCAAAAGAAGTTCAGGGACAGTGCCCAGGACATGATTTCAAGCCCCAGGACTGGCAAAAAAAAACGCCAAAAACCTCAGTGCATATCCTACAAAATTACACTAGATAGAAGGGGTTGGGTTGGGAGGGATGGAGAAGGCTGGAAGCATTGACATTGAACGGGATGAATTATATTCATAAACAGCCTTGTTGAATGGTAACAACGTGTATTTTTCTTTTAAACGCATAGTGATAACTTGTGCTTTGGTTGTTTCTGAACCTGTTTTCTCTGCTCAGGAGGATTGCGACCTAGAGAATGTGTGGCTGATGGGTGGCCTGAGTGTGCTGACGTCCGTGCCTGGGGGGCCGCCAATGGTGTGCTTGCTGTGTGCCAGCAAAGGCCTCCATGAGGTTGGTACATAGCCCTTTTTTCACAGACTCCAAGTCAGTCTCTGTGAGCCCCTGACTGGCAGGCTGGGCTCTCTCATCTGGGTGTAATCCCCTGGCTTCCCAGCCTCACACTGTGCCATCATGTGCTTCCCCCACCCCACTCCACTCCTAGTTGGTGTTCTGCCAAGTCTGCTGTGACCCTTTCCACCCATTCTGCCTGGAGGAGGCGGAGAGGCCCCTTCCCCAGCATCACGACTCTTGGTGCTGCCGCCGCTGCAAATTCTGCCATGTCTGTGGACGAAAAGGTCGAGGATCCAAGGTTCAGGCACTGGGCCAGCCTGGGCGGGGAGGCCTGGCATAGGGCTATCCATGGGCAGTAAGGTTGCATCGCTGTCTCACCACCCTGTCCCTCAGCACCTCCTAGAGTGTGAGCGCTGCCGCCATGCCTACCACCCAGCCTGCCTAGGACCCAGCTACCCCACCCGGGCCACTCGAAGACGTCGCCACTGGGTGAGACTGGAGCCCTCGCCTGGTTGGTGTTGGGGTTATTAGCCTCTCTTCTTCCTCTCCTCCCCATCCCAGGGCCTGCTTAAAACCAGAGCTCTCAGCAGGGGAGGGCTGGGAGTGCTTTGAGAATGTGACAAGAACAGCTCCCCCAAACTTCACTAGGCAAGATGTAGACAGAGTCCAGCTTGAAATTCCAGTCCTGGGCTCTGAGCTGAGGACCCCTTTGCCCTCTTGTCCCCCTCTTGCTCTCTTGTGCGTGTCTCACCCAGTCCCCTCCCCATCATTTGTTTCTCTGAGCCCTTTCCGGCCCATCTGTTGACATTGCCATGTTCCCCTAGATCTGTTCAGCATGCGTGCGCTGTAAGAGCTGTGGGGCGACTCCGGGCAAGAACTGGGACGTGGAGTGGTCTGGGGATTATAGCCTCTGCCCTAGGTGCACCCAGCTCTATGAGAAAGGTGGGACAGCACTGGGGGCGCAGGGGAGCAGGCCAGGCTCCTGATTGTAGGGTCCCATTGGGGGCCTATGTGTGTGCATGTGTGTGTACGCATGTGTGTGTACGCATGTGCGGAGCTGGGGTTTGAAGTCAGCCTTGCTCTTGATGGGTGGCTCTTGAGGCATGCCGCCAACCCTGTCTAGTGTATTGTAAACGGGACAGAGAGCCTCAGAAGGGCATCTGGGGGTCAGGCTTGGAAGCCACCTGGTTGGTTTCTGAAGCCACTCCCAGAACCTCAAGTCTTCCCGGGGTGTTCCTTGTGTGTTGGAGCAGTGCACTTGGCAAGGCCCTGTGCATGGTAGGGGCACTGGTTTAGTCCTCACTTGGCTTTTTGGAACTGGGAGGATGTAAGACAGGGTTGTGATGGAGGCGCCCTTCAAGGTGTGCTTGATCTTTGAATGAGGCCCAGGGTGGGGCCCCACCTGACTCTTCCCACTTGGTCTCTTCCTCTAGGAAACTTCTGCCCAATTTGCACCCGCTGTTACGAAGACAATGACTACGAAAGCAAGATGATGCAGTGCGCGCAATGTGACCACTGGGTGCACGCCAAGTGTGAAGGGCTCTCAGGTACAAGTTGGTCTCTGCCTGATGGGGGCTGCCTTGACCCTGGAGCGTGCACAGGTGACCATCCCAGGTGGTCTGCCTGTTCGGGGCGTCCTTATGCCCCCTGACTGCCTTCTTACCCAACTGTTGCAGACGAAGACTATGAGATTCTCTCTGGGCTGCCAGACTCCGTGCTCTACACATGTGGGCCGTGTGCAGGTGCCACACAGCCCCGATGGCGGGAGGCCCTGAGTGGGGCCCTCCAGGGGGGCCTGCGCCAGGTGCTCCAGGGCCTGCTCAGCTCCAAGGTGGCCGTCCCACTGCTGCTGTGTACCCAGGTCGGGGGGGCTCTGGGGCAGGTGGGGTGGCGCTGGGCTTGCTCTGCGCCTGGCGCAGGCCATGCTGACTGTCTTCATTTGTAGTGTGGGCAGGATGGGAAGCGCCTGCACCCAGGAGCCTGTGGTTTGCAAGCTGTAGGTCAGCGCTTTGAGGAAGGCCACTACACGTCTGTGGTGAGTGGACGTGAGGTGGGGGAGTGGCGTGAGGAGTGGGCAGGGTGTGGTCCTGACAAAGCCTCTTACAGCACAGCTTCATGGAGGACATGGTGAGTGTCCTGACGAGGCGCGCAGAAGAAGGCGAGGCCCCTGAGCGTCGGGCAGGGGCTCAGGTGAAGGGGCTTCTGCTAAAGGTGAGCTCAGCGCTGAGTAGTCCTGGTGGGTGGAGAGGCTCACTCACACAGTTTACACGCCAGGGAAGCCAGTTCTTCTCATCTTCTTAACCCCTCCCCAGCTGCTAGAGTCTGCGTTCGGCTGGTTCGACGCCCATGATCCCAAGTACTGGCGACGGAGTACCCGGCTGCCAAAGTGAGCAGGGCTGGGGAGCAGCTGGGACGTTGAGGAGTGAGGGCTAGCCCGGGATGAGGCGGGGCTGGGAGGCCAGGAAGGAGGGTGCGGGTGAATGTGGCTGGGGCAGCAGAGGCTGAAGCTGTGGAACCAGAGCTCACTTGCTTTACCTAGTGCCAGGTTGTTGTGGACAGAGTAGCGACAGTGAGCCAGTGAAGATTGTGCTCAACTTAAAGAGCCCACGTTTGGGTGGTGACCCAGGTGGTCAGGGCAGAGGTGGCGAAACCTAGGAGGTGTTGCCACGCAAGTCACGAGCTGGAGGGGAGTTCCAGACAGGGAGTGGAGCACATTCTTTGTGGAAGGGGGCACGAGAGGGTCGGGTTTGTTTGAGAGGAAGATTCCACGTGGACGGGTGGAGGCAGGTGCTGGGTGGGCAGGCCCCCTCCCAGCTGCTTTGGTGGACCATGGCAGGTGCTAACTTTGCCTGTCCACAGTGGAGTCCTCCCCAACGCGGTATTACCCCCATCCCTGGATCACGTCTATGCTCAGTGGAGACAGCAGGAACTGGAGACCCCAGAATCAGGGCAGCCTCCAGGGGATCCCTCAGCAGGTACTAGGAAGTGGGTGTTGGAAGCCAGCTCCTCTGAGATGGTAGGCCAGGTGCCCAGTGGTGACTCTTCCCTTCCTCGCTCCTTTCCAGCTGTGCAGGGCAAGGATGCAGCTGCATTCTCACACTTGGAGGACCCTCGGCAGTGTGCGCTCTGCCTCAAGTATGGGGATGCTGACTCTAAAGTGAGTGTTCCCCCGCGGAGCCCCTGGGGGAAGGAGGGGGACGAGGCTAGGGGGAGAGGGGCGAGGCCTAGTCTCCCCACCTCCATCCCGCCACTCCTCTGCTGCCCCCAGGAGGCGGGACGGCTCCTCTACATTGGGCAGAATGAGTGGACACACGTCAACTGTGCCATTTGGTCAGCTGAAGTATTTGAGGAGAACGACGGGTCCCTCAAGAATGTGCATGCCGCTGTGGCTCGGGGGCGGCAGATGGTGAGTGTGAGGCTGGACGTGTCCTTCCCCTGGGGGGTTAGTAACAGAAGCATTTCCCTTTTGTGCTCTTTGACCATAGTTTGGGCCCACAGCCTAGGCACTTTAGGTAGACTCTCTGCTTGAGCCTGTGCTGGTACTCTCCTCCACTGTAGCCCTCCTGTTGGGAGTGGTCCAGTTCAAATTCTTACTGTGTGGGGCCTGGACAGGTGTCCTGGGCACAGGACATCTGTGAGGACAGAGTAGGGCAGAGTGATGTAGAAGGAGCAAGTGCCACTCAGGACGCTCTCCCCACTCAACATGTGCACACAGCCCTCGAAGCTGGGGGAAGCAGTGCTGCCCAGGGCCAGGCCAAGGCCCAGGCTTCTCCGTCAGCAGCCCTTCCTCCCGCAGCGCTGCGAGCTCTGCCTGAAGCCTGGGGCCACGGTGGGCTGCTGCCTGTCCTCCTGCCTCAGCAACTTCCACTTCATGTGTGCCCGGGCCAGCTACTGCATCTTCCAGGATGACAAGAAGGTCTTCTGCCAGAAGCACACCGACCTCCTGGATGGCAAGGTGCGCCAGGCCCAGGGAGACCGTTGCCCTGTGCTCAGGCAGTGTCCACAGTCATTCCATCCTCACCCACAGCCTTGCCTCCTCCATTTGCCTCCCAGGAGATCGTGACCCCTGATGGGTTCGATGTTCTCCGCCGCGTCTATGTGGACTTCGAGGGCATCAACTTCAAGCGAAAGTTCTTGACAGGGCTTGAACCTGATGCCATCAATGTGCTCATTGGTAAGCCACTTGTCCTCCACCACTCCTGACCCCGCCAGCCTGCCTCCCCTCTCCTCACCTCTCCTCTCCTCTCCTCTCCTTGGTCCCTCAGGCTCCATCCGGATTGACTCCCTTGGCACTCTGTCTGACCTCTCTGATTGTGAGGGCCGTCTCTTCCCCATCGGCTACCAGTGAGGAGGGGCACTGCGGGGAAGGGGAGGAGTCATTGGGACCCCATCTTGGTTCTTAGTTACCCACTGCTCCTAACCCAAATGGTTCTATGCACGCCCATCAGGTGCTCCCGCCTCTACTGGAGCACAGTGGATGCTCGGAGGCGCTGCTGGTACCGGTGCCGGATTCTGGAGTATCGCCCGTGGGGGCCTAGGGAGGAGCCTGTCCACCTAGAGGCTGCCGAGGAGAACCAGACCATTGTGCACAGCCCCACCCCGTCCCCAGGTATGGCCCTGGGCTTGCCCTGTGAGCCTCCCTGCCCACATCCTCCTCCCAGAAACTGCAGAGCTGGCTTTGCTGGAAGGGCAGTAACAGAATTTACAGACCATGCCAGGGTGTGCCAGGGCATTTTATGGGAAGTGAAAGGAGAGTACCAGGCAGCCAGCCTGAGGGCAGTGAGGACAGGAGCAGCGCTCATGGCTCCCTGACTTGGGGCTTGGAGGTTGGCGCGTGCACCGCTGCCCTGTACTTGGGGGGCAGCTGTGTTCCAGCCAGGCAGGTAGTGAGTGCAGCGCTGAGAGCGGCATGGCACAGTGCCCAGGGTGGGCTTGTTGCAGGCTTGGAAAGGACAGGTCATCACAGGCCACATAGGACAGCCATGGGGCTTAGATGGCTGCTTCTGGCCCGGCTAGGCGAGAGTGGGCTTAGAGGCTCAGGAGAGCTTGTAAAGCCTGGGCAGGGCGGGGCAGTGAAGTGCGCCCAGCACCCAGGACTGGTGGGTTCCTTTGATGTGGCATGTGAGAGCAGGTGAGGAAAGCCGTAGGACTGGCCAAGCTGCAGAGCAGGCCTGACTATCGGTCCAGCCCGAGTGCCATGGCCAGGCAGGGAGTGCAGGGACGTGGGAGAGGGTGGAAGTGGTATGGGGGCCCTGACGGAGGATTTGGGGGGAATTTCAGAGTTTGGGGCCTGGGCCAGACGCCATCAACTTCAAATGGGAGGCCTTGATGGGGTGCTCTTCACCCCCAGTGTAATTCTCCTGCTTCTCCAGAGCCTGCAGATCATGAGGAATCCCCGCCAGATGCAGACACCCTCACCCCTGGAGCTGCCCAGCACCCATCACCCATCCTGAATCTGGATCCCCCCCTGCGGCTGGATGCCAGCAGCGCTCCTCCTCCAGCCCCCCGCTCCTTCTCAGGGGCTCGAATCAAAGTGCCCAACTATTCCCCCTCGCGGAGGCCCCTGGGAGGTGTCTCCTTTGGCCCGTTGCCGTCCCCTGGTGAGCCTAGGGGTGCATCCCCCCCCCAGGAGGGGGCCGGGAGGGAGGTAGGGGAGCGGCTGCCTGACACTGTCCTTTTCCCACAGGAAGCCCTTCTCTGACCCACCACATCCCCACAGTGGGAGACCTCGACTTCCCCGCTCCTCCCAGACGCGCTCGGCGGCCCAGCCCGCTGGCCCCCAGGCCCCCTCTGTCCTGGCGAGCCTCCCCTCCTCTGCGAGCCTCCCCTCCGCTCAGGGTGCCCACTCCTACCTCAGTCGTTTCGGCCCTCTCACCTACCTCAGGGGAGCTGGCTCCCCCTGGCCTGGCCCCATCTCCTCTGCCTCCCACCGAAGACCTGGGCCCGGACTTTGAGGACATGGAAGTGGTGTCAGGACTGAGTGCTGCCGACCTGGACTTTGCAGCCAGCCTGCTGGGGACCGAGCCCTTCCAGGAGGAGATTGTGGCCGCGGGGGCTGTGGGCAGCAGCCATGGGGGCCCCGGGGACAGCTCAGAAGAAGAGGCCAGCCCCACCCCTCGCTACATCCACTTCCCTGTGACGGTGGTGTCCAGCCCCGCCCTCGCCCCTGGCCCGATCCCTGGAACTCCCCGAATTGAGCAGCTGGATGGAGTGGATGACGGCACGGACAGTGAGGCCGAGGCAGTCCAGCAGCCCCGGGGCCAGGGCACACCGCCTCCAGGGCCCGGTGTGGGCCGAGCTGGCACCCTGGGGGTCGCAGGGGACAGAGCCCGGCCGCCTGAGGACCTTCCTTCAGAAATCGTGGATTTTGTATTGAAGAACCTGGGGGGGCCTGGAGAGGGGGCTGCTGGTCCCAGAGAAGAGTCACTTCCCCCGCCACCTCCTCTGGCCAATGGCAGCCAGCCCTCCCAAGGCCTGCCCCCCAGCCCGGCCGACCCCGCCCGGACGTTTGCCTGGCTACCAGGGGCCCCTGGGGTCCGGGTGTTGAGCCTGGGCCCTGCTCCTGAGCCCCCCAAACCTGCCACCTCCAAAATCATTCTTGTCAACAAGCTAGGGCAAGTGTTTGTGAAGATGGCTGGGGAGGGCGAGCCCATGCCTCCCCCAGTAAAGCAGCCCCCTCTGCCCCCAATCATCCCTCCCACCGCCCCCGCCTCCTGGACTCTGCCCACAGGGCCCCTGCTCAGCGTGCTGCCGGTGGTGGGTGTGGGGGTGGTGCGCCCCGCACCGCCCCCACCCCCACCCCCAACCCCACTCACACTGGTGTTCAGCAGTGGGCCCCCCAGCCCACCGCGCCAGGCCATCCGCGTTAAGAGGGTGTCCACCTTCTCGGGCCGCTCCCCACCCGCACCTCCCCCCAACAAGACCCCCCGGCTGGACGAAGAGGGGGAACCCTTGGACGATGCCCCTCAAGTTCCAGGGCTTGGGAGCAGTGGGTAAGCAAGTCGGCTGAGGTGGGAGCGGCAAGGGAAGGGGGGGGCGCACTGCAGCTCAGCTCAGTCCCGTGGCTCCTCCGCTAGGTTCAGTCGAGTGAGGATGAAGACGCCCACAGTGCGTGGGGTCCTCGACCTGGACCATTCTGGAGAGGAGAGCCCAGGGTGAGTGGCTGGGCCCCGCTCCTTGTGTGTCCCGGGGGACCCCTGTTCTTCTGCCACCTCATGTCTCTCCTTGCAGGTCCCTCCAGGAACGCTCCCCTTTGCTGCCACTGCCAGATGGGGGCCCCCCGCAGGCCCCGGAGGCCCCCTCAGACCTGCTGCTCGAGTCCCAATGGCACCACTACTCAGGTAAGCCCACCTTCCTGCCTCACCACCTTCCGCACTTGGTCACACCCCAAAACCACGCAGAAGCAAGGCCCATCGGAGACTGGACGCTAGTCACTGAGCTAGCCCGTGACACAGGCAGACAGACATGGAGATGACAGCCGGCTCCTGTGCCTCAGCCCGTGCGGCCCACCTGAGGGCCTGGGAGCGCTTCAGACCTGGCCCGCAGGGTTGGAGGTAGCAGCGCTACCAGGGAACCCAGAGAGATTCCTCTATCTGGGGGTGGGGCAGATGAACAGAGCACCCCAGAGGGTCAGGGCAGAGGTGGTCAGCTGCCCTCAAACCCCACAGGTTCCAGGTAGGGGTGTGTGTGAGGAAGATGCTGAGAGTGTAGTTGGCATCATAATGTGGGCTCTGGTTGCTGAGGAGCCCTGGGCATTGGAGAAGAGGGGCAAAGTTGGCTGGCTCAGCAGGCTGGGGTACAATCCCACCCCAGTGTTGGGACATTTCCCAGCACATAATGCTAAGCTGTGACTGAAGAAGCAGACTGCACCGTGCAGGGCAGGGACAGCCTGGAGGGGTGGTGGTGACCACATGGAGCTGGATTGGATGTCCCTAGTGCAGCCCACAGTGGGGGCTGTCCAAAGAAGTCTGTGCTCAGTGGGGTCCCACAGTCAGCACCCGCATCTACACAGCCTGTTCTCCTCCATGACCCTACACCGTCCTTTCTCTTCTGGCCGGGCCCTCGCTATCCACCGGGTGCCAGGGCCTTGGCCTTCATTCCATGTCTTCTCCCTCTCGCTCCTGGCTTCAGGCCTCTAAATCCTGACTCCAGCCCTAACCAGTCCCTGGACTTGGGGCTCCTGGTTCTGCTGCCTCCACCAGCAAGGTTGCACTCAGCATGTCCCCACCTGAGGCCTTGACCTTCACCCCAAACTTGTTATCCTTTGCCCTGGCCTTCCCAGTCAATGGTAGTTGTTCCCCTTGTCCGTTCAAGGTTGTCCTTGACCACTCCTGCCACACCCACACTCCAGCAGCCAATGCTGGCTGCTCCATCTAAACTGTACTCCCTAAGCTGGGCATGGCACATGCCTGTAACTCCTCTGGAGACTGAGGCAGGCAGATTGAGGTCAGCCTGGGCAACATAAGATCCTGTCTCTGTGAACTCCAAAGAAATTCCTTTAAGTAACCTAAATAGTATCTATTGTGTTCTTGGATCCATTCGGGTGCATCTATATATTTGTAATAGATTTGTAACATAGGAATGTACCCTGTATAGCCCTGAGGGGTGCTTCGACAGTAGAGGGCTTGCCTGGCACACAAAGGACCCTAGGTTTAATCCCTAGCACTAAAGGAAAAGAATATCAGTGCGTCCGCAAAAACACATCGACAAGAGCTGAAATCCATGAGGAAGACCAGTAGCAGGCAGATAGGGTTAGGATAGACTGGTTTTGAGGGAGTCAGTTGGTGTGACCTGCAGTACTGTGGCACTGTGCTTCTGAAACTACTTTGTGGCTCTAGAAGGTGATGTGCCTATTCTTCCCTGATGATTGTGACTAGGTGAGGCCTCCAGCTCAGAGGAAGAGCCTCTGTCCCCGGAGGACAAGGAGAACCTGGCTCCCAAGCGTGCCGGCCCGCACCTGCGCTTCGAGATCAGCAGTGAGGACGGCTTCAGCGTGGAGGCCGAGAGTTTGGAGGGTGAGTGGGGGGGGGTGGCTGAGAGGGAAAGTGTCCCATTGACCTTGGGCTGACCCTGCTCTGGTCACACCCTCACCCCAGGGGCCTGGAGAGCTCTTATTGAGAAAGTGCAGGAGGCCCGAGGGCATGCACGCCTCCGACATCTTTCCTTCAGTGGTAAGTGGGCTTCCCCCTGGGGTGCCTGGGTGATCCCCAAGGGCAAGGCGGGGCCTCCACCCTCCCTTTGTCCTCCACTCCTCTCAGGAATGAGTGGGGCCAGGCTCCTGGGCATCCACCATGATGCTGTCATCTTCCTGGCCGAGCAGCTGCCAGGGGCTCAGCGCTGCCAGCACTACAAGTTCCGCTACCACCAGCAGGGAGAGGGTCAGGAGGAGCCACCCCTAAACCCCCACGGGGCTGCCCGCGCTGAGGTCTATCTCCGGTGAGAGGTTGGGGAACCCCATGGGAATTCATCTAGACAGAAGCCAGGTGACAATAGCTCAGGCCTCTTGTCCTAGGTATCAACAGGCTGAGATCTGAGGATCTTGGCTTGAAGCCAACCCAGGGAGGAAAAGTCTTGAGATTCTTACCTTGAATTAACCACAAAAGGCAGGAAGTAGAGCTGTGGTTCAAGTGGTAGAGTGCTATCCTTGAGCAAAAAAGCTCAGGGAAGCTGGGCGCTAGTGGCTCACTGTAAACTCAGCTACTCAGGAGGCTGTGATCTGAGGATGGAAATTTCAAAGCCAGCCCGGGCAGGAAAGGCCATGAGACTCTTTGTCTCCAATAAACCACCAGAAAACTGGAAGTGGTGCTGTAGCTCAAGTGGTAGAGTGCTCGCCTTGAGCTGAAGAGGTGAGGGCAAGCTCCTAGGACCACAGTTTAAGCCTCACGACCGACCCAAAAGAAAAAGAAAAAAGAAAATAGACCAGTTGTTTCTAGAGGCACACGGCAAGCAAGCACCCCACCCAGTCCCCCTCAGCCAGGTGTTAGCAGCAAGTGGAGCCTGGGTCAGAGTGGGCAGGCATCATCTCCCTGAAGGACAAGCTGTGACCCTCGCTCCTTCCTTCCCTTCTGCAGGAAGTGTACCTTTGACATGTTCAACTTCCTGGCCTCTCAGCACCGGGTGCTCCCCGAGGGGGCCACCTGCGATGAGGAAGAGGATGAAGTGCAGCTCAGGTCCACCAGGTGTGGAGGGCAAGCTGGGGTGAGAGGGTTCTCAGGCAGGTGGGCAGGGGTGCAAGGGCACCATCCCTGGAGACAAGCCTATGACACTGCCGTCCGCCACCAGACGTGCCACCAGCCTGGAGTTGCCCATGGCCATGCGTTTTCGCCACCTCAAGAAGACGTCCAAAGAGGCTGTGGGGGTCTACCGGTGAGTAGGCTTGGGTGAGTGGACAGATGCCCTGTGGAAGGCTGCCCAGTGGCCGCCCTGCCTCCTGAGCGCCGCTTCCCCCCCCATCCTGCAGGTCGGCCATCCATGGGCGAGGCCTGTTCTGCAAGCGCAACATCGACGCTGGCGAGATGGTCATTGAGTACTCGGGCATCGTCATCCGTTCCGTGCTGACGGACAAGCGGGAGAAGTTCTACGATGGCAAGGTGGGCACCCTGAGCCAGTGGGGGCATGGGGTATGTGGCAGGTGGGTCTGCGTGGCAGCGCCTCACCTCCGTGCCCATCCCCTAGGGCATCGGGTGCTACATGTTCCGCATGGATGACTTCGACGTGGTGGATGCCACAATGCATGGCAACGCTGCCCGCTTCATCAACCACTCGTGTGAGCCCAACTGCTTCTCGCGTGTCATCCACGTGGAGGGTCAGAAGCACATTGTCATCTTTGCCCTGCGCCGCATCCTGCGTGGGGAGGAGCTCACGTACGACTACAAGTTCCCCATCGAAGATGCCAGCAACAAGCTGCCCTGCAACTGCGGTGCCAAGCGCTGCCGCCGCTTCCTCAACTGACAAGAAGCTCGCCATGGCTCCAGTCCTCCCAGAGTGCCTCCCTCCTCCCTCCTGCTCAGGGCGGAGTGGGGCACCCCGGCCGGGCCCTGCATCCACCCCACCAGGCTACCCAGCCATCACCCCCTTCCCGCCCTGGGGACCCAGGATGTAGATACTGTACAAAGGTTTCTAAATCCCTTCTTTTCTATGCACTTTTTTATTTAAGAGGGGGGGGCTTCCAGGTGGGAACCCCTCACAATAAAGTCTGTCAATGTTTGGAGAGGTGATAGTCTTCTTCCCTTGTGTGTGAACTCCCACTTTCCACCCTGCACCTATCCTTGACCAAGGAAGTCCATCAGCCCTAAAGGTGAGGCCAGCGGGCAGAATTCCAGCCCAAGCCTCTGCTTATGTGGAGCACTGAGTGCCTGGGGGCGGGCGGGGACCCTCAGCCCTGGGGCACTCACAGATCATCTGCACTTCTGGGAAAGGAGGCTGTGTCTCCTCCACCCTGTTAGGATTGTGCTTCCTCTAGTGTGATTGCATAGTACCTTTGCTGGCCCCAGTTGGGCTAGCTGTGTGCCCAGCCGGCCCCGAAAGGCCATGGCTCTCTTGCTACCACCATTTCTGTCAAGGCCCTCAGGATGGCAGTGAGCAGGCAGAGATGGGAGCAGGCAGCAGGTGTTGAATGCTGCCCCAGGCTCAGGGCCAGACACCTGCCAGCTGGGGAAGGTGAAGGGACGGGTGAAGGGAGGAAGGCCATCCAGACATAACCAGTCTTTCCCATTAACACCTGGTTAGGAGTGGATCCAGTGTTCCACTCTGGTTGAGTACAGTGGTGTAGGTATGGACGATTCCTCCAGCTAGGGCAGATCTGGGGATGGAAGCCCCTGAACCCCTTTGCCTGTGGGCCTCGAGCCTCTGCCAGGGAGCAGGAGGACGGCCGCCACGATCACGAGGGGGAGTACCCATCACCAGGGGCAGAAGAAAGCCTGGCAGAGGTTGCTTTGAGTTACTCTGAGGCTGGAATTCTCTATGGTCACGGGAAGACACAGTCCTGCCCTTACCCCATACACCCTGACTACCATGCACAGGCTTTCTCCTGCACCCCGAGCCGACCAGCAACTCTGCTGCTCTGTGCACTCCTGGCAGGAGTCGGGCCTGTGGTGAGCTGCCACTAGAGCTACACAGCTCTGTCTAGTGGGAGATGCTGGCGCCAATGGGGCTGCCGAGCCCCGCCCCATCCAGCCGGCCACGCCCCCTATATGCGCCCATCCTATCAGCGTACAGCCCAACCTCCCCTTTCCCACGAGGCCCCTTCCCTTTAGCCAATCAGTGCGGGTCTTGCGCACCAGGCACCGCCCACGCCCCTATTGACTACTTAAAGAGCTGCCCCTTAGCACGCGGCCCCTAGCGTATCCTACACGGACTCCAGCACGGGTTCACCGTTCACCGGGCCAGGGCCATCTGTCTTAGCGCTCTACCTCCGGAGCAAAACATCCTCTTCATACCCCCCACATCGCCTCCTCCGCCCCTATCACCTCCTTTTCCACCATCACCCTGCCTTACCACTAGGATTTAGGCATAAACCCCCCACCTGAGCCAGGAGGCCGCCTAAAGAGTTGTAGGCAGCTGCGGCAGCATCTGTTGTCAGGGTACCAGCACTGATACAGCTGCAGTACTGGGAGGCTTCCTGCACTGTGGCCACCTGGAGGAAGATTCTGGGTCCCATCTGGAGAGGCCTGCAACCTAGGGGGCCGTGTCCACAGGATTTCTACCCATACCACTTTGGTCCCAACTTTCCAGGGCACCCAGGTGAAAGAAGGAAGTCGCAGATGTGGGGGACACAGAATTCCACGGTCCCTTTGGAAGTCTAGCCCAAGGCTTTGAGATGATTGAGGAAAACTTGAGGTCCAGACTGCAGATTTGGCTCATCACTGTATCCTCATATAACTTCTCTTCCTCCCTTTTCCATTCCCCAAATTCTATAGGGCTGATATGGAGAATCCATTTAGGTGAGAGGATCACTTGAGCCAGCCTGTGTTGTGGTCCCCTCCCCCAAGACAAAGGAAAAGGAAAGAGAAGACTTTGTAAAACAGCTCCTGACATGAAGTCAATGTGTCCCAGCTCAAGGTAGTAGGATTCAAAGACCCCGCCCTCCTCAATGAAGGCTCCGGCTTGACCCCCAGCCCCCTCCGCCCCATGCTTATCACACCCAGGCAGCTCCCCCAGGAGTATGAGACAGAAAAGCTGAGCTTCCCGACAGGAAGGCAACCCCAGCCCACCAGTACAGATCTGGACTCAAGCCTCTTCCATACCTGGTGTGAATTTCCTCTCTCACCCTTTTTGTCAGCTGTGAAGCCAGAAGGAAATTACAGCCCACAGGCAGGCAACAACAAAGCCCTACTGGAGACAGGGAATTTTATTAGGAGAGGGTTGTTGGGAGATGGTCCCTGTGTTGAACAGATTATAGGATGGAGTCCTGGAGTGAGGGGGAAGTTGAGGCTGGAGAGTAAGGTGAACACTGGGAAGGGGTCCTGGCCAGGAACATCTATGTCTCTCAGGCAAGGAGCTAGAGTCTCAGAAGCGGCCATGGCGGTGGTCTGGAGAATGCCGGCGGTTCCTTTCTCGGGGACGGTGGCCAGTGTGGGTCCGTGGGGGTGATCTGGGGCCAGGGGTGGAGAAAGCTGTGTTAGGATGGCTGGCAATGATGCAAAGATGTCCCAGGCCTGACTGCCTCTTTGCTCTGCTCTGGGATAGGATGAGGTAGATATTAATGTATCTAGACCCCAGATCATCTTAGGAGAGGTATTGGGGGGATCCAACTTGGAATTGGAAACCCAGGCTTTTAGTTTGGGGTTCCATTTGGTTTGGGGGTTGAGACAGGTGAGGATCTTCAGATAAGGCTCAGGGATATTCTTTTTCTTTCTTTTTTTTTTTGCCATTCATGGGGCTTGAACTCATGACCTGGGCACTGTCTCTAAACTTTTTTTTTTTTTTTTGGTTGGCCATGGGGCCCAAACTCTGGGCCTGGGCACTGTCTCTCAGCTCTTCAACTCAAGACTAGCACTCTACCACTTGAGCCACAGCACCACTTCCAGCTTTTTCTACTTATGTGGTGCTAAAGAATTGAACCCAGGGCCTCATGCATTCGAGGCAGGCACTCTACCACTGAGCCACCTTCCCAGCTCTCCCTAAACTTTGTTACTCAAGGCTAGCACTAAACCACTTTGAACAACAGTGACACTCCCATTTTCTGGTGGTTCACTGGAGCTAGGTCTCATGGACTTTCCTGCCCAATTTAGCTTTGAACTGTGATCCTCAGATCTCAGCCTCCTGAGTGAGTAGCTAGGGTTATAGGCATGAGCCACTAGTGCCCGGCAGGAATATTCTTAGGAAAGAGATAGGTGAGAATTATCTTAGAGAATATGAACTTTAAGGCCTAAGACATCTTGGGATCAGGAACTGGTTGGTGATTCATGCCTATAATTCTAGCTACTCAGGAGGCTGAGATCTGAGGACTGAGGACTGTGGTTCCAAGCCACAGGCAGGAATGTCCATGAGACTCTTACTGCCAATGAACTAGCAAAAAGCTGGAAGTGGAAGTGTGGCTCAAGCAGTATGGCACCCAGACTTAAGCAGAAAAAAACAAGTGATAAGCGCAATGCCCTGAGTTCAAGCCTGGGTACCAGCACAAAACAAAAGAAAAAGCTATCTTGGGTAGTCTGGTTCTGAGGTACCTGCGCCTGGGCCCCCTGCCATACAGCTGCCGGCGCAGGTTCCGGGATATGGGTCGAAGGTGCATGAAATTACAGAAGCCACCACGGGTACATTCCCTGAGAAGAGGGTAGACCACTGTCATTGACAGCCTCAAGAGTCTGCAACTCCGTGCACCCCCTCCCACTCCTGCACAGCCATACCCCATCTCATACTGACGGCAGCATGACTCCCGGAAGTCAGTGACAGGAGACAGTTCAGCATGTACAGCCTGTCCATTGAACCAACGGTTATTGAGTTCAGCCACTGCCCGATCTGCATCTTCTTCTCGCCGGAACTAAGGGGAAAGTGAGTCAGAGAAAACTGAGGAGCTCAAGATCTTCAGGGAAATAGCCGTCTTAGCCTTGGATAGTGAGATCTCAGTGGTGATCAACAGAACACTTCTGAGCTCTAAAGTGGGAGGGAGGGGGAGGACAGTAGCACCTTAACGTAGACATTGCCCACGAGGTGGTCCCCCAGGTTGTCACACACATTCATCTCCTCAATCTCTCCATACTTCTCCTGCAGTTCTGTGAACACTTCCTGCAGAAGGCAAGGAGGAAACTCAGCTCAGCTCCTAGAGCATAGGAAAGCCAGTTTACCCCTGCCAGCCCTCACCTCAAAGAAGTTATCATAATGCTCCTGCACCTCCACGTCGCTCACATGACCTGGAAGAGGAATGCAGGTTGGAATCGGGATGGGAAGATGGCCCAGGCCTGCTGGGGACTGTCCATCCTGCCCTCCCTGCCTCCCTTCCTTTTACTCACAGTGGGATCCGTCTGCAGTCTGGGCCGTGTTCTGTGGATTCCGGTATAGGTTGAGCAGCACTATGGTCTGAACAGATTTTAAAGGGGTAGGGCCTGAGCTCAGAGTGGGGTAGGCTTGCCCTCAAGAATTGGGAAGACCAGGAGACCTTGGGGTCCTGACCAATGCACTAGGCAAAGAGAACTCTACACTTAGGTCCCATCAGAAAGTAGCCAGGGCTGAGCACTGGTGGCTCATGCCTGTCATTCTAGCTACTCAGGAGGCTGAGGAGCAAGGTTCGAAGCCAGCTCGGAGGGGGAAACGCATGTAACTCTCATCTCCAACTAATCAGCAAAAAAGCCAGAAATGAAACTGTGGTTCAAGTGATAGAACGCTAGCCTTGAATAAAAAAGCTCAGGGGCAATGCATAGGCCCTGAGTTCAAGCCCCAGGGATGGCACGCGCGCGCGCGCGCGCACACACACACACACACACACACACACACACACACACACGGGGGAGGGGGGGAGAAGCAGCCAACTGGTGGTAGGATAACTATAGAAACCAGAAAAGGCGGAACCTAGGGATGATGGACAGGTAAAGGGGAAGCCTAAATGGGATGGACCTTAAACCCCGGAAAAGGCGGGAGCTCGAGATGATGGACAGCTGAAAGGGAAACGCCAGGAGGCGTTAACCCGCAGGACGAAGCGCCCGGCCGCGCGTCTCACCTGGCTGAAAGTCGGTTTGTTGTGAAGCCGGGAGCACCGGTCCCCGTGCCGGCAGGCCCCGATCTTAAAGTAAAAAGAGCAGTTAACCCTGGAAAAGGTGCAAAGATAAAAGCTTGAAAACTGAGGGCCGGAGAGGCCGGACACCCCAAGAAACACTACAACCCCTAAACCACCCCACCACTTGGGTCAAGTGTCCTGACGTCCCTGCACCCGTTCTCACTTGTCCTTCTCAGTCCCGAATATCGAAGCTAAATATTCAGCCATGTTGATCCGGACCACCCCCAGCACACACGCTCGCCTGCTCCTGACGTCACTTCCGTTGCCTCGGAGCACTGGGAAATGTAGTTTGTTGGCATTGCTTTCCGAGTCACCGTCACGTGCTTCGAGACTCGCTACCGCGCGTGCGTAGGATCTGGCCACGCCCAAACATCCCTTCCGCGACTGGCGGAGGTTCCCAAGCAGCGCATGCGTACAACCTTGTCTAGCTGGGGGGGGGGGGGGGGAAAAAAAAATACTACAAACTCCATTGAAATCTCGCGCAGACGTCCGTTGTAAAGGATAAAAAAGTCACCCGAGGCAGAAGGAAGCAGCGCCACCGGTGAGTGGTGAGTCCGTTCGAGCCGCCCAGTAAATTTCATCAGTCTTTTCATCCCGGACAGTTTGGGGGGGGGGGTACGTACCCGCTCTGGGGCTTGAACTCAGGGCCTGGACGCCTTCCTGAGCTGCTTTGGCTCAAGCCGAGGACTCCACCACTGGAGCCTCAGCTCCACTTCCGCTTTTTTGGTAGTTAATTGGAGTTAAGAATCTCACTGACTTTTCTGCCCGGGTGTGCTGGCTTCGAATCGTGATCCCCCAGATCTCAGCCTCCTGAACAGCTAGGATGACAGGCCTCAGCCATCTGGCGCCCGGCTTAACCCCGATAATTTATTGATGGGAGTGAGCGTATCTTTCTTTTCACCAGACCTCTTCACGGCCATAGGTAGCTCTGATTCGTTGTAACCGAGGTGGGGTTGGTCCTGAACTTGTCACCCTGGGTCTTTGTTCTGCAGATCCTTGAAACTACCCAGCTTTAGCGCAATTATGAATTTGGAGCGGGTGTCCAATGAGGAGAAGCTGAACCTGTGTCGGAAATACTACCTGGGTAAGGCTGAGCCCCTGGCTGCCTGGGGTTGGGGAGAGGGGATGAGACTAGGCTGCTGAGACTCTCCACCAGCCTGGATTGTGGGTCTCAAGGGGAAAGCAGCTTAGAGATCTGACATTGAATCCTGGGTCTTTGGGAAGAGAGGTGGTGGGTCTTCAGGAAAGAGGAATGTGAGGCCTGCACTTTTTTGTTGTTGTTGGTGGTGGTGTGGGGCTTGAACTCAGGGCCTGGGCGCTGTCCCTGAGTTCTTTTGCTCAAGGATAGCACTTTGCCACATTGAGCCACAGCACCACTTCCAGTTTTCTGGTGGTTAATTGGAGATGAATTTCACGGACTTTCCTGCCCAGGCTGGCATAATAAAGGACCTTATAACTCAGATCTCAGCCTCCTGAGCAGCTAGGACTACAGCCGTGAGCCACCAGCACCTTGCTGCCCATGCACAGGTGTACAAGTTCTGGGGCTAGAACTCAGGACTTGGGTAATGTCTCTGAGTTTTTCTTGCTCAAGGCTAGCATTCTATCATTTGAGCCACAGCTCTTCTACCTGCTTTTGTGGTGGTTAATTGGAAATAAGAGTCTTATGGACTTTCCTGACCAGGCTGGCTTTGAACTGTAATCCTCAGATCTCAGCCTCCTGAGTAGCTAGGTATGAGCTACCAGCCACTGGTTAGGGGTCCACTTCTGAAGAGAGGATGGTAAAAGAATTGGAATTTTGGGTCCAGAGGAGGAGATGGTTGAGAAATCAGATTTCCAGACTCCAGGAAGGAGCCCGGATTTGTAAAGCCTTGACCTTGGAGACTTCAGTTGAACATGAGTATGAGAGAACCTTCCAAAATGGGCCTTCTTCCAGGTGTCTGTGGCTCACACCTCATAATCTTAGCTACTCAGGAGGCTGAGATCTGGAGAATCACAGTTTGAAGCCAACCCTGGTCAAAAAAGTCTGCAGAACTCTTGTCATCAATTAACCAGCAAAACACTGGAAGTGAGCCGTGGCTCAAGTAAGTGAAAAAGCTAAGGGACAGGTCCTGAGTTCAAGCATGGCACATGTATACACATACACACAGAGCTTTGGAGGTGGGAGTTAGGCAGATCTTTATTGATTTATGTCCTAGTGTGGGTTTTTTCCCCCCTCCTTAGGTGGATTTGCTTTCCTGCCTTTTCTCTGGTTGGTGAACATCCTATGGTTCTTCAGAGAGGCCTTCCTCGTCCCAGCCTACACAGAGCAGAGCCAGATCAAAGGCTGTGAGTCCAGGGCAGGAAGGGAGGCCATCCACTGGTGGTGGGAAGGGAGAGTGGAGCCTTCAGAACTCCTTCCTGGTTAGTGGGAGAGGATGAAGGCTGGTCTGAGGAAGTCCTGAGAGCAGCTGGAAGCCAGCTCTCCCCCTACACTCCTGTTCCTCATTATAGATGTCTGGCGTTCTGCTGTGGGCTTCCTCTTCTGGGTGATTGTGCTCACTACCTGGATTACCATCTTCCAGATCTACCGGCCCCGCTGGGGTGCCATTGGGGACTACCTCTCCTTCACCATACCCCTAGGAACCCCCTGACAACTTCAGTACAGGCTGACAATCTGTTCTTTCTCCCTCTATGGGCTCCAAGCTCCTTCTCAAGCCCTAAATGTGTCCATCTCACATCTTCTCCCTGACATGCCATAATAAAGGACCCTAACTTTTGATACTGATTGGTTCATGTCTTTTATCCCAACGATTCAGGAAGTATAAATAGGATCCTGGCCCAAGTTCTCCCACATAAATGTAACGCTCCCACTTAGAAAATAAAAGCAAAAAGAGCTGGGGGTGGTGGCTCAAACAGTAGAGCACTTGCCTAGCAAGGGCAAGGCCTTGAGTACAACCCCCCCCCCCCGTTCTGCCACAACAACAATGAAAAATACCTTGATGCTCCCTATGACCCTTTCAAATATTTTTTTTTTCTTTGTCGGTGGTAGGGCTTGAACTCGAAACCTGGGCACTGTCTCTGAGCTCTGTTGCTCAAGGCTCATTTTCTACCACGTTGAACGACAGCTCCACTTCTGGTTTTTTTGAGTAGTTAATTGGAGATAAGAGTCTCATAGGGATTTTTCTGACACGGCTGGCTTGGAACTATGGCCCTCAGATCTCAGCCTCCTGAGTAGTTGGATTACAGGTGTGGTGTGAGCCACTGGTGCCTGGCCTTGTCATTTTTTTTTCCAAACTATAAATTGCGACTGGAGTGGGGGAGGGGGACTGACAATGACACCTTGCAATGTTTTTCCTATCTGATTATTGGGTGTCTTTCATTCTGTAAAAGACAGTCCATTAGTACAAGGATTTTTGTGTGTTTTTTTTTGCACTGCAATATCCATACAGTTTAAGATGAATGCCTAGCACACTAATAGTTTGAAACCTAGTCATACCTGAAAAGACCCAGCAGGTAGTTGGCATCTAGTGAGAGCTCCGTAAGAGAGGATCTAGCCTGATCCCAGTCTAGGTATCCGTTTCAGGGACTAAATCCAATTTCCTGAGTAGTTAAGTCAAATTCTGTAAATAGCTAAATTGGTGTTGCTACAACTGAAGACTACAAGTCCCAGGAGGCACCACGGTGCGCGAGGCGGGGGGGGGGGCCGCACTCTGTTTCCCATCGTGCCCCGCGCGGCGCAGGCGTTGTTACTCCCCCTGAGTCTAGGTAGGTGGAACTACAACTCCCAGGAGGCATCTTGCGTTATCGTTGATTTGTTTCCGGAAACGGGGCCCACCCAAGAAGGTGGACTTACATAGCTGGGAGGTGCTGGCTGTAGCTGCCGATTGGTTCGGGGAGGAGATTGACGGCTTCCCTGACTAATAGGAACAGGTAACTGCTGAAGGGGGGCCCGCCTCCAGAAAGCGAAAAAAGGGAGGTAGTGTCCCCGGCGGCTGTCGTGGCTGTACATTGCTTAGGTTGGACGTGCAACCCGTGCACCCGCTTACGTTTGGTCTCTCCTGCCTGCTGCTTTTGGATTTTTTTTTCTGCTGGCCAGAAACCGATCTTAACCATGTTCCCAGTGAAGGTGAAAGTGGAGAAATCAGGTGAGGATCCCAAGGTTTGGGCGCGGGGGTGGGGGTGGGGGCGCACCGGACGATCTAGGTAGGGGAGGCCTTGACGGACAGCTCCATCACGAAAAGGCGGGCTCCATGACTTCGCCCTGCAGCCCGTCTGACCATCGCTGTAACAGGCGGCAAGCGATGGCTGCTACCTTCACACCCTCCCAATATGCTCCCAGGAGCTCTGAGATTAAACTGCTGTTGCCAAAAGTTGTGTGTGAGGGTCCCAAATCGGTAACTCCGTGAAGGGATCCTTTTCTTGGCTTTGTGCGATGGGCCCACAGTGCAAGGACTATTAATCCTCGCGATCGCTGTATTCCAATAATTCCAAGACTCAGGAAAGTCCTGCGGGAATCAAGCTCAGGTACAGGAAGTCATCCTGGATTGGAGCAGAGGTGATGAGAAGTAGCGTAGAGAGGCCCAGAATCCAGACAGAAAATAATTGTAAGATGGGGTAGCGTGTTAAATGGGATAAAGTGTTAATAAAAAAACAAAATACGAATCAGTCAGGAAGTTGGTAACTCATGCCTGTATTTCTAGCTACTAAGGAGGCTGAGATCTGGAGGATCATACTTGAGAGGTCAGCCCACGCAGAGAAGTCTCTGAGACTCCCATCTCCAATAGCAAAATCAGCAGCTGGAGGCATGACTCAAATGGTAGAACACCAAAGCAGCATGCAAGCCAAGGGAGCTTGAGGCCCTTAGTTCAAACAGAATACCAATAATAATAAGACTGGGTCTGAAAATACATATATCCTACATAAATACTGGAGCTGCAGCAATAATCTCTATAGCCTTAGCTCCTAGAGAGGCTAAAGCAGGTGAATCACTGAATTCAGAATCTCAGAGCCTGCCTGGAGCAACAATGCAGGGCGGGGGGTGGGGGGGTGGTAACTGAGGCTTGAATTCAGGTCCTGGGTGCTGTGTGTTCACTTTTTTTACTCAACTGGTGCTGTACCACTTGAACCACAACTCCACTTTTGGCTTTCTTTGGTTGTTTACTGGAGATAAGAGTCTCACATTTCCTGACTGGGCTGGTTTTAGATTGTGATTTTTAAATCTGAGACACTGAGGCCAGTGGCAAGACCCTAGTAAAAAAAAAAAAAAAAGGGGGTGTAGTGGATGTTTCCAGGCTATGAGATCCACAACTTGAGATTGAGGAAAGCCAAAGCTGAGGACAGAGATATGGGCACCATTCATTCATCCCTTTGGTTCCTGCCCATGGCTCATTAGTGCAATCTCGCTTGTACCATCCCTGTCATTAGTCTGTTCCCTGTGAGTGACACTGGTCAACCCAGTGTGGGCCAGTCTCTGCCCAGGTGGATCAAATACACACACAGCTGACTCCTGCTTGGTACCCTCTTCCTGCAGAGTTGGAGATGGCCAAGGCCCGGAACCAGCTGGATGCCGTTCTGCAGTGCCTGTTGGAAAAGAGTCACATGGACAGGTTGGGACCTGGTCCCGCTGGGGTTCAGGGCTGTGTGTTGTGGCAGGTTGGATGCTCTGATCCTGGGTGAATCGGGTTGAGACTCCAGGGGAGAAGGGTATCTCACAGGAGGCCACTCCATACTGTCCCACGCCTGAGTCTTGGTAGCTAAGCTTCAGTTCTCTTCTCCTACCAGGGAGCGACTGGATGAGGAAGCTGGGAAAACTACCTCAGACACCCACAACAAGTAAGGAGGTTTTTATTTATTTGTTCGTGGTTGGTTGTGGGGCTTGAACTCAGGGCCTGGGCTCTGTCCCTGAGCTTCTTTTGCTCAAGGGTAGCACTCTACCACTTGAACCACAGCACCACTTCTGACTTTTTCTGTTTGTGTGCTACTGAGGAATTGAACCCAGGGCTTCATGCATGCTAGGCAAGCACTCTACCACTGAGCCACATTCCCAGCTGTTGTTACTGTTTTGTGCCAGTTTTAGGGCTTGAACCCAGGGCCTTTTTGTCTTGCCTGGCTTTTTTTTTTTTTTTTCCCTCAAGGATGGAATTCTACCACTTGAACCACAGCCCCACTTCCAGGTGGTTTTGTTTCTGTTTATTTTTTTGCTGGTTAATTAGAGATAAGAGCCTCACAGATTTGTCTGCCTGGGCTGGCTCTGAACCAGCAGCCTCAGATCTTAGCCTCCTGAGTAGCTAGGAGGACAGAGGTGAGCCACTGGCGCCCAGCAGGTGTTTTGGTGACATCTGGGCAGTTAAGCCCTGCCCACCCCACCCTGGGCAAGTTCCATCGCAGCCCTCAGCACTCACCTATGTGAAGATGAGGGACAGAGGTGGAGCACGAAGCCTACTTAGTGGTGGGGGGAGAGGGGCAAGTATCCCCAGGGTGTCTTTTGTGGGAACTTCAGTGGGTGTTTATTTGAGGGTCCCCTTGCTAATGCCCTGTCTCTGCCCCCCCCCCCCCCCAGGGATTGCTCCATCACAGCTACTGGAAAAAGGTAAGATGACAGAGTTCCAGCCAGCTGCAGGTGAGATGCTTAGCCCCGCCCTGGTCCTGACAGTCTCCGCCCCCACACAGGCCATCTGCTCGCTTCCCTCACCAGCGGAGGAAGAAGAGGAGGGAGATGGAGGACGGCCTGGCCGAGGGAGGGCCTCAGCGATCCAGTAAGTATGCCTGTGGCCCTAGGCGAGGGTGGGCAAGGGAGCCAGGGGCTCCACGATGGTGCTCACTCCCCTCCCACCCCCACCACCCCAGACACATATGTGATCAAGCTGTTTGACCGGAGTGTGGACTTGGCTCAGTTCAGTGAGAACACACCGCTGTACCCAATCTGCCGAGCCTGGATGCGTAACAGCCCTGCAATGCGAGAGCGGGAGCGTTCCCCCAGCTCACCACTGCCCCCGCTGCCGGAGGATGAGGAGGTGGGATGGGTGGGTGGGTGCCAGCCCAGAGTCAGGGTGGGCAGTGGGGTCGACAGGCTCAAGGAATGCTCCTCCCGTGCATGCTAGTGATAGGTAGGCATACGTCTCAACCTAGCGGTGTACATGGCTCACACCTGTCATCCTCGCTACCTCAGAAGGCTGAGATCTGAGGATCACGGTTCCCAGCCAGGCAGGAAAGGAAAATCGGTGAGACATCTCCAATGAACCACCAGAAAACTGGAAGTGGAGCTGTGGCTTAAGTGGTAGAATACTAACCTTGAGCTTAGAAAAGGCTAAGGGACAGCACCGAGAACCTGAATTCAAGCCCCAGTGTTGGCATATATATATATATATATATATATATATATATATATATATATACACACACACACACACACACACACACACACACAAAGTGGTGAATTAGGTAGGGCCCAGCTATGTACCCTCAAACTAGAGGTATGGATGGAGGTCCCTAGGGCAGACAGATAGGGCTTCCTAACTTGGAGGAAAAGGGAACAGGGCTCCCCAGACAGGTCTACCTGACTTCTAAGATTCAGCGTCTCCAAAAACTTAACAGACTGGTCAGGGATCATTAATGCAGACAGTGTGGTTATCAGATGTGGCCTGGGTCAGCAGCTAAGGGACCCTCTGGGCTGCTTAGGGATAGCTGGTGCAGGGGGGTGGGGTGTTAACCATCTGATCTGAGAGGGTAGACAGACATGACCCTGCTCTTTTTTTTTTTTTTTTTTTGGTGCCAGCACTTCGGCTTGAACTCAGAGCCTAGGCACTGTCCCTTAGTTTTATTTGCTCAAGACTGATACTCTACCACTTGAGCCATAGCTCAACTTGTGGCTTTTTAGTGGTTCTTTGGAGATGAGAATCTCACAGACTTTACTGCCTGGGCTGGCTTCAAACCATGATCTTCAGATCTCAGCCTTCTGAGTAGCTAGGCTGACAGACATGAGCCACTGGCACCTGGTTATATCTCACCCTTTGAACTGCTAAGATCACAGCAGACCTGGCCACTATGTCCTGGGGAATGGTGAGAATCTAGATGACACAAACATGATTCCTAGACGACTCCCTGAAGCAGGCAGGCTGCATCTGCCCTGGACTGACAGGTGTAGTGTGTCTCTGGAGCAAGCATCCTGTTTCTGTTGTTGAAGCATAACTTCTCCAAGCATGGGTTTCTTGGTGAGACCTTCATGACGCTTGTCACTGGAAAAGGGAGGAAAGGGTAACCGCCACACTTAATTAACCCTTGGGCCTGGTATGGGGCCCCTCCCTATCCCCCCCAGGGTTCAGAGGTCACCAACAGCAAGAGTCATGATGTATACAAGCTGCCTCCACCCACGGCTCCAGGACCACCAGGCGAGGCCTGCAGATCCCGCATTCCATCCCCGCTGCAGCCAGAGACCCAAGGCACCCCAGAAGATGAGGTGGGTCTGCAAGGCTGATGGGTGACAGAATGAGGGCCCCTGGGGCAGGACTGGTGACCGTGGCATCCTTGACCCTGGAGGCAGAGACAGGAAGGTGGAATTTGTAGGGAAGAAGTGGTCAGATGTGGCCACCCAGCCTGCCCTCTCTGTCCACACAGCCCTCTGAGCCCGAGCCTTCCCCCTCTACACTCATTTATCGCAACATGCAGCGCTGGAAACGCATCCGCCAGAGGTGAGCATCCATCATCTTGCTTTCCCTCCTCTATGGCTGCCTGTGCCATTACTGAGGCCTTCCTCTGCCTTCTGCCTCCCCTAGGTGGAAGGAGGCATCTCATCGGAACCAGCTTCGATACTCAGAAAGCATGAAGATCCTGCGGGAGATGTATGATCGCCAGTGATGTGCCTGACCCCTCCCCTTCCTCACCCCAATAAACATGTTCTACCCCCCCAACCCTGTGTTCCAGCCCCTCCCTTCCTGGCCAGACAGGAAGCAGTTGACACAGGTCTAACATCTTTATTAGTGACAGGAAGCCAGGCTGTGGGAATGAAAGCTGGCTGCTTAGTTGGCTCTTGGAGTATGTGGAGTTGGAGGGCGTTGTCTAGAATATCTATCAGGCTGGAGGGTCTGGAATTCTGGACAAGACTGCTAGTGAGTTGGGAGGGGAACGTAGCACACGCACCTAGTCTGAGAAATCTACAGTTTGAAGTTGGGGTCCTGTTTGGCCTGTTTAGTTTTCCTAAGGATTGGGAGTCTGTAGAAGGGGTCTAATAGGAATTCAAGAATGTGGGTGAGTGGCTGGGGTTTCAGGTAAGAAAATAGGCTTGGGGTAGGGGAGTGTCTTTGAGGGCAGGATCTAGAGTCTTGGGGACAAGGCCTGGTCTGTCTGCAGTGGGAGATCCCTTGCAGTCTGGGGCATGTGGAGGGGTGAGGGAGTTTTTGCCTGACTAGAAGGGAATGGGGGGGTGTTTACACTCTTATCATCTGTTGGGGGGAGGGCAGATATTTCATTGGAATCAGGAATGCAGGAGGGAGCCCTAGAGGGATATAAGCCAAGAAAGTGGGGTGGGGTGCTGGGTTGAGGGGGCGGTCTGAGGCTGGCCAGGCTAGGCCGTCAAGGCCCAGTACAAGGCAGAATTTGGGTTGGGTCAGAGGGGCTGTCTTGGCGCCGTCGGGGGTCTGGCTAGGCGGAGTCAGATAGGCTTTTTTCAAAAGAGCCCAAGTGGCTCTCAGGATTCAGATGCTCCGCATCTCCTACTTGGCTGCAGTCGGTGATGGCAGTGGGGCCTGGGCCGGAGCTGGTGCGGCCTGGATGGACAGGACGCCCTCGGGGGACAGCGCCGAGGTCACGGCCGCGGGGTCCACACCGGGAGGCAGGCGGTAGCGACGGTGGAACTCGCGGGCAATGAACCCATGCTCATCCTGGCAGGGGAGAGGGGCTTCAGCTGGCCACGCCCCTCCCCGGCCACGCCCTCTAAGGCAACACTGGTCCGGCTATTCGACCTGGCCACGCCTATTTTGGAAACCCCGCCCTCCGCAACACAACCCCCCCTACAGATCACACCCATCCCCTTGGCCACGCCCCCTTGCACTTGAGCAAGTCTCCCGCCGGGTCCAGGAGCTCACCGGGCGCTCCTCGTGGCGCGCGTGCACCTCGACGTGATCACCAACCACCTTGACAGCGATTTCCTCTGGGGAGAAATGCTTCACGTCCAACAGTACCGAGAAATGGCCGGGATCCGTGGACACCTGAGCACAGCGAGCACGGGCAGGGGAGTCATCCGACGGGGGTCATCCACCGAGGATCTATCCTCGTCCCCGCCCCCAGTCGGTTGGTTCTGGTACTACAGCACCTCAGGCCTCAGTACCTGGGGAGTCGGCCCCCTTCCATCTTATGTCCCCTTTCACCCGCGACCCCTGGGATCCCCCTCTCGTTCATACAGGGCCCCTCCCCTTGCAAGGTTAGGGACCTCCGCCTGCCCAGAGGGAGCTTGTCTGCCCTTCCCCACCGGTGTCACCGAGTCACGCAGTAGCCATGCCCTCGCCACAAGGGCTCTTATTCTCCTCCCTTCCCCCCCTCCCTCCAGCCACGGCCAAGATGCCTCTTTTCCCCCAGTCTTCAGAGCCCTGGGGTCACCGGACCTCCCTCCCCCTCCGCAGTTACTGGTTCCCTTCCATTTCAGAATGGCTTATCAAGTCACAGAATTCTTCCTAACCCTTTACCTGTCCAGGAGAGACACCACACCATTTCCAATCCTTCACCTTTTACCCCCAGATTCCCTGGGTCACCAGCCTCCTTTGAAGGCCTCAAGACTTTCCTGGGAGTGACCCAGCCTTTTCACTCGCCTCGGAATTCTGAGACCCTTTCACAGTGACAAGGACACACACACACACACACACACACACACACACACACAACCCTTTAACTCACTAGAATAACAGTTTTCGATATTCCATACTCGGGGACCTCTGGAAAGTCCTCTGAGTGCCACAATTTTCCACTCTGTTAAAAATCACCTCTCTATCCCCGCGCCCTCCCTTCCCAGGTTAACACAGAAACTCCCCACCACCACCACCCCCCAGCTTTGTCGAAGTATCCCTGCCCCAGGCCTGGGCACCTGGGCAGTGGGCAGTGCCACACTGGGGGCACGCAGGTAATAGGGGGCGATCGCGGCAGGGCAGAGCGCAGCCAGCTCTGCCTCCAACAGCCCTTCGCCGAAACGCTGATCAAAGAGACGTCCCGGAGTAGAAAATCCCGGCAATGGAGCCGAAGCACGACGCAGCCAAGACGGCTGCACAGGCACCGGGATCTCCATCCTGTTCCTCTGCCGCCGTCCGGGGCTCTACGATTCCCCTTCGTCCCCAGCTGCTTATTTATAGTGTGCCCGGTGCCAGCCCCTTGGCCTGGCCTCTCCGGGACATCTGGATCGTGGCCAGACTCGGCCATTAGTATCCTTATTTAGAAACCCGATAATGACTTAGCCATTCATTAGGCGCCTACTGGATGCCTCGGAGAGGACCCCAGGGAAATCTCAATTCAATTTTCTTTTCAGCTTTCAGGAAGGGAAACTAAGGCATATTGAGGGACGGACCCTTGGCGGTGTAGAGAACACAACGTGCCCCTCTAACCCCCATCTCCAACCCCCCCCCCAAGTTTCCTCAGTTCCCTTAATCCATCCCACCCCTCTGGCAACTATGAGGATGACGCAGAGACCTTGGGAGCAGATTCCTGGAAAATGTGGTGGCAAGGCCAGACTGTCAGGAGGACACTGAACAGACCCTACCCCCACCTCCAGCAGGACCTTAGGCCCAGCCCCCCTTTCCGCCCCCGCAGGTCGGGCCTAATTCTGTGCCTCTGACTCAGCCTTGGGTGCACAGCGGCCAGGGGGCGTGAGCACAACACTCCAGTCTGGCCCCTCGGGGGCCGCGCGTCGGAGCCCAAAATAGCTCATTTTGATCCCGCTACCTGGGCCAGGAGCCCGGGCCTGGCAAGTGGTGCAACCAGCTGCTACTGCGGCAAGAAGGAAGTGGCTAGGTGATCATCGGGACCGGCTGGCTGACCCAAATAAAGGAGGGCTAGACGCCCAATTGCCTTGTAACGAGTAGAACAGGAATGAGACTGGAACAGGGAGGTTTCTTGTGTAGTCACCAAGAGAGGTGAGAAAGCAAGAGTGCAAGGAAAGCTAATGTACTCGCCCCCAGGTTCTAGCCCAGCCTTAGATCCTGTCCATTGGTCCATACTCTTGCCTATCACTTCTGCACGCTACAGCCTCTCCAATCAGACACAGGCTTTCAAGAAGGCCAATCTCACAGCCAATCACAAGACCCCCTCGGCTGCCCACTTTACAATTCCTTTTATTTCCCTCTCCACTATTGGTCGTCTTGAACGCCACTCTCTTCCAGCGAGGGGCGGGGCTGAAAGGGCATTGCTAAGCGACACGGATGCGCGAGGTGTCTGTCGGGTGAACGAACTAAGCAGGGTCCAGCCATCAAGTAGCTGCGGGATGGACCGCAGGTGAGGCTGATCGCTCTTCCGGAGACCACGGGAAGCCAAGGGAGGTCCCAGGGCGAGAACAGCAACAGGTTCTCGAGGAACTGAAGCGTTGGGCTAGGCCGCACTGGAACTACAACTCCCAACCTCCTGCCCAGCCTCGGGCAGCTCCAGCTGTAGACTTCACCTCCCGAGGGGGCTGTCAACCTCTCACACCCTCTCTGGGCGGCCCTCAGGCATTATTTGCCCCGGGGGTGCCCAAAGGCAGCTTGTAAATTCAGCTTATTTTTTTTGAAATTGCCTCCAGGCACCCATGGGCGTTGTCTTTGTTTCTCGCGAGGTGGAGCCAGCCCGGTGAATCCTGGGAATTGTAGTCCACTTACTCTATTCCCAAGGACTTAAGGGAAATGTGCAGTAAAGGATGTAGTAATTGTTACCCGAGCAGCAGCACTCTAGAATCCCCTGGGAAGTGTTTAAGAAGATGGAAATACTAATTACCCTGATTCGACCATTATACCTTGTTATATATGTATTGAGTTATCAAACTGTACCTTTATAAATGTGTACATTTAGCCTGTGTCAATTTATTTTTTGTGTGTGTGCTAGTCCTGGGACTTGAACTCAGGGCCTGGGTGCTGCCCCAGCTTTTTCAGTCCAGGCTGGTGCTGACCATTTGAACAACACCTCCACTTGTGGCTTTTTGCTGGTTATTTGGAGAAAAGGGTCTGTTGGACACTTCTGCCCATGCTGGCTTCTAATCATGATCCTCTGATCTCAGACTCCTGAGTTGTCAGGATTACAGGCATGAGTTGCCAGCGCCTGGCATGGCTGTGGTTTTAGAAGGCCCTTCTGTCGTTATTTTGAATGTGCAATAGTGCTTCATAAAATTATAATCTGTTGGGCTGGGAAGTTGGCTCAGTGGTAGAGCACTTGCCTTGCATGCATGAGGCCCTGGGTTCGATTCCTCAGCACCACATAAGAAAAAAGCTGGAAGAAGTGTTGTGGCTCAAGTGGTAGAGTGCTAGCCTTGAGCTGAAGAGCTGAGGGACAGCGCCCAGGCCCAGAGTTCAGGCCCCATGACTGGACCCCCCAAAAAATATAATCTGTTGCTTTCAGGAATCCATGCTCATGATCTGGTTCTTCCTTTCTCATTTCTTATAGTTTCTCAGTTCTTTCTACCCAAGACAGCCCCTTTGGAGATACTCTGGGTCAAAGCCATTACTGGCCATCCAAAAGCCAGACCTGGTGTCCCAAGGTAAGGAGAGTGCTGGGTTCTAGCCTGTCAACCAGGAGTGACTACTAGAGGAATGTCATGTGTAGATAGATTAAGAGACAGCCTCAGTCAGGTATTAGTGGCTTGCTTATGCCTGTCATCCTAGCTACTTAGGAGGCTGAGATATAAAGATCAGTGTTTGAAATCAGCCTGGGCAGGAAAGTCCATGAGTCTCATTTCCAGTGAAATACCAAAAAGCCAGAAATGGAGGTGTGGCTAAAGTGGCAGAACACTAGCCTTGAGTGAAAAAGCTAAGGGACAGCACTAGTCTCTTGAATTAAAGCCCCAGTACTGATACACACACACACACACACACACACACACACACACACACACACACGAGGTTGAACTCACATTTCCTCCCTATAGCTCTCCCTGTCCAGCTCTCTGCCACCTGGATCTGCCACCATTTCCCCCAGTTACCCTGGGTTGTTCACAGTGGAATAACCTCATGGGGTTTGTTTCTCCTCTTCTGGACTGAGATACTCATGCCTTTGCTCCATACAAAGTTGATTTCTCAGCTCTTGCATTATCTTCTGGTCTTCTCCCTCATCTTAGCCCTTAAGCCCATCCAGGTCTCAGAGATCCAGTCTCCCACAGGCTCCCAAAGCTGCAAGCGATTCCTCTGAGCTGTTAGAGGACTCCTGGCCATCTAGTTCAGCGACCCCATCCCCACCCAGCACTAATGATGGACAGATGGGCACCTTGCCACCCACCCTGATGGACAGCGAGGACTCTGTGGTGGCCAAGTAAATATCAGAAGTCCTGAGTGGGGGCTGGGAAGGTGGCTCAGTGGTAGAGCGCTTGCCTTGCATGCCAGAGGCCCTGGGTTCGATTCCTCAGCACCACATAAGAAAAAAACCGGAA